AATTTAAAGGTTAATTTATCATTCAAACAGTCAAAACTGGGTATTTTAATAATTTTATCCGGTTCCATCCATTAGAATAATATAATGGAGGGGTATAGATACAACAATCTCAGAAGTTCACCCTTAGGGTTTTGCGGGAAATGGGATGTCCTCCTCACACAGAGGCTCAGACCAGGCCAAGAGGAAAGGCTTTGATAATTCGAGGCTGATATCAATGTGAGTGACAGAGTGAGGGGAAGAATGAAGAAAGGGTAAGCGGTGTAAGCTTTTGCCTTTGGCACAGTCATCCCATTCGCTCCAACTAATAGCCCCTTTGCAGTCTCGGCTCGTTTGAGGAAGAATCAATGTTTTAAAATCTGGACCCGATCGGTTCTTAAGTTGAACGGTCCGATCGGTCCAAACGGATGATCTATTCTGAAATAAATAAAATAAAAAACAGCCAAAAACTTTTGTTTGGATCGACAGTTCGATGATTCAATCACCCGGGTCAATGGGTTATTGATCAAATCAATAGTTTTTTGCTGGTTCCCGGATTAATCAGTCCGACCATCCGATCTGGTCCAGTTTTCAAAATCATGGGAGTAACAAAAATGATTAATACGGATGTAAATAACTCTAGTTCATGAAAATGTAAAGTTAGTTTAATTTTGTATTTTTTGCCAAACGATTTTTAACTATGATAGGTATAAATACAAATCCCGATATTGAATATTGAAAAATACCCTTTTTAATATTGGCTAACTTTGATTATAAAGTTTGAATCCATTTTTTTATGCAAACCTTGCTCTCATTTTGATTGCAAACAAAGGTGTCAAGGGACCGGTTTTGGACTGGACAGGAAAATCAATTTGGACAGACCAATAAGACATATTAAATTGGATCAGTCCAGTCCAAAATAATTATTACATCGGATTGGACCTGGTCCGTTCGTAATATATTTATATTGGATTGGGTTGGATTAAGCCAATATCTGGTCCATTGATATAAGATAAGAATATAGGTGTCAATAGACCAAGTTTGGATTAAAATCATTCTAAACTAAAACGAATTTCAACAGATTGGACAGTCTAGACATTGAATTGAACCATTCCAAAATGGTCCAAAATATTCATTAGATTGAAATGGACCTGTCCATTTGTAATGGACTTTCATTGGACTGGATCGGATTGGACCAAATCCAGCCCAATTGACATCCCTAATTGCAGACATGTTTTGATATTTCTATGTCATGATTTTCAAGGCAAAAATGCACTCTTACCACTCTTCCCAAATGGAACCTCAAAGCTCAGTTTGGAAGGAGTACAAATACAAATATGTAGAGTGTAAAACCTTGTATTTTGTATTATTTGGTATTCTTTCCAAATCGAGGGCAAGGACTGATTCACTTTTGTGTGGATTGATTGAACACAAAAAAAAAAAAAAAAAAACTTCTAGTGGACAATCTTATTTTTCACAAATTTTAGGGAAATTTTCCCATTAGTACCATGTACTTTGGGCCTAGTGCCACTTTCGTTCCCCAAACTTTAAATTGCAACAATTCAATAACCGAACTTTTAAAACATGATAATCCAGTCCCTGTCGTTAATTAACTATTAACTAGCCGTTAAGTGGCATTTGAAAAAGACATAAATGCCCTTCAAGTTTCATCTAATTTTCTTTATCAACCATCCAAACATTAACAAAAAACTGACACTCCTTTTCCTTTTCTATTCAAGATAGTTGAGGTCACCAAGAATGCCCACTCAAATGTGACCCCAGTTTTCTTGAATTAAAGAGGCAAGGATTTGGGATTGTTAGATTTTTTGTTAATGTTTGGATGGTTGATAAAGGAAATTAGATGACACTCAAAAGGCATTTGTGTCTTTTTCAAATGCCACTTAATGGTTAATTAACAACTAGTTAACAACAAATATTAGATTGTCACGTTTTAAAAGTTCAGGTACTGAATTATCGTTTTTTTTAATTTAGAGACCAAAATGACACTAGACCCAAAGTACAAGGTACTAATCAAAAATATTTTCCTAAATTTTACCATTATTTATTTCAAACCTGATTTTTTTTTTTTTAATTTTACAAGCTAGGATCGAATAGAAAACCTAGATTCAAACCCGGATTTTATGAGCTAGGCCGACGGCCCTACCCCTTTCTTTGGGATTGGTTAATTGGTTTTAGTGCAATTAAAATTTGTATAAATTTGGATTTTTAAACTTTGGCCCGTGCAAATCCTATATAAAAAATATTTGGGTAGACTTCCCCTGATATTCACGCTAAATACTAACACCTCCCCTCTAATTTCAAAATGGTGCAGGACCTCCCCTTTTAAATTGCATTAGCTGTTATACATGATGGAACAGTTAAAAAGTCTAATATGCCCTTGTATATTATCTCCCCTCTCCTCTTTCACATTACCTCAGCATACAGCTTTTTTTCCATTTTACCATTCAGTATTGTTTTATTCATACGATCTCTTTTTTTATTTTCTTTTTCTGGCTCTTTTTTTTTCCCATTAGATCACCTTAAGACTGTTGAAACACAAACTTGTTCAAGGATAAATGTAATATTCTCTGTTTTTACCATGGTTTTTAAAACTGACCCGACGACCAAACTAGTCAGGGGTCCGATTACCGGGTCGAACGGTCCATTCAACCCGAAGGGTCAATCCATTTGGACAAAAAAAATATTTAAAAAAATAATAATAAAAAAAACAATCAAAACCATTCGAACAGTTAATCGGCTGATTCAACGATTTGTTAACCAAAATCAACGGTTTTGAAGAAAAACAAAACCAGTCATGACCGATTCCTGATTTTTCTGATCCGACCGTCTAATTCAGCCCAATTTTGAAAACCACGATTTTTACCATTACTCTAAATGTTTCCACAGAAATTTCTTGCATCAAATTACTGAATTAGCGGAAAGCTTCTTCAATTATGCTTTCTTTAATTCTACACATGTCTTCCCAACAGATGGAGTGGGAATTTCTTGATTATTTATCATTGCTTTCCTTCCTGCGGAAGGTCAATTATTTCCATAAATAAATCATGCTTTCCAACATTCTTTGTGGATTTTCTACACAGTTTAGAATTTATTAGAGTGTTTTCGAGATAGTTACTGAGTTTTAAATCATTTTTGTGCTATCTGGATATTTTCACTATCAAAAGAACAAGTGAACGTTGGAATTTAATAATTTTCCCTTGTGTATATAATGATAGTGTACTCTGCAATATTCAACTAAATATTAATTTAATAGGCTTAATCTTTATTTTTGGCTTTAAACGAGTTTGTCTATATTCTATTTTCTTCTTTTTTGTTTTTTTTTTGTTTTTGTTTTCCATTCTCTTGTGTTGGATTTTTTTATCTTATTGGATTTCCCATGGAGGGGAGGTTTCTGTCCAATGACATCACTTATAATGGAGGTCTTAGTCTATTTTGAAAACAGGGGGAGATCTTAGTATTTAGTATGAATCTCTGGGGAGGTTTAAGTCTTTTATCTAAAATATTTCTTAATATGGATATTTTTTGGACTAATGTAAGTAAAATGATCAATTGTTGAATCCTCTCCCTCTGAAGTTTCTAGTTGTTGAAACTAGGGGTGTTCATGGTTCGATTGGCAATTTTTATAAATCGAATCAGTATCATTGGTTTTTTCATTTTTTCAAATTGAAATCGAACTGGTACCATTGGTTAACTAGTCCGCCGGTTTCGGTTTTTGACCAATTTAGTTCTTTGGTTTTTTATATTTATAATATATTATATAAATATATATAATATATTTATAAATAGATTATTATAAATATAATATATGTATATATTTATATATATAATGAATATATGTTTGTATATAATATATAGAAAATATGTGACATATATTAAATATATATATACACCAATTGGTTCGGTTAATCGCTGGTTTTTTTGTAGGTTAATCAAAAACCGAACCAGTCCTTTGATTTTTCAAAAATACCAAACCGAAACCGAATCGATTGGTTCGATTAACTACATTTTGCGATTAAGTTTTCTCGATTATGTTCGGTTTTTCATGGACACCCCTAGTTGAAATCTCTCTTGAAGTTTGGTAATTACAATCACTTCCATGGTTTTCAAAACCGGACCGAACTGAACGGTCGGATCGGAAAAACTAAGAACTGGTCAAGTGACCAGTTCCGTTTTTCCCCAAAACTGGATTTTTGCAAAAAACGTTGATCTGGGCGTTCGAACCGTTCAACGATTTTGACCATTTTTATTTTTTTGTCAGAATGGGCCGAACGGTCGGACCGTTCTACCCGATAACCAAACTCCTGACCGTTTCAGTCTCCGGGTCAGTTTTAAAAACCATGATCACTTCCCTTGAACTTTCAAATATAGTTGCAATTATCTTTCCTGTTTACATGTTACCATTTAGAGGGAGATGTTCTCAATGTACAATTGTAATGTCTCGTGGTTGTGGGTAGGTGTGGGTATGAGATCAGAGCTCCTTTGTTAAAATCCTCTAAAAAAGAGGCATAAAAATATCTAAAATACCCGTATAGTTACTTTTGACCAAAATATTTATTTTCTAAATTTTTAAGTAGCCTAAACCCTTTCGATCTCTTTTCTAAAATAGTAGAGACTCAATAGTACTTGTATAAGTATTTTGGACATTTTCATGCAAAAAGGTCTACTGCAACTGTCTCAAAAAATTAAGAGAGCGATTGCAATTACCAAACTTGAAGGGTGGTTTCAGGCTTTCAGCAATATGCACCCTAAACTAAAAATGATTTGAAAATAATTATTTATGATTTTAATTATTTCATCATGTCTATATTTATACTAATTTTTATATTATATTAGGGTCCGAATATATTTCGTAGGCTGACAACTTAGGATCGGGTCCGAATTCTGACGAAACCACAGCCCGATCCGTTTCCATCAAAAGAAATATTTGATGCCTCTAAACGCGATGGAGCGAACCCGGCCCATTTCACAAAATTTACTTGGACTCATCCTTTTAGTTTTGAGTTTTTCTGTAATTCATAACTTTGAGCTTTTTCGGATCCAAGGAAACCAAAGGGAGGGAGAATGGGAAGCTCTAAGACGATTATTGCTCACGAAATTGGAGGAATTCAAAATGATGCTCTTCGTTTTGGATTACAAGGTGTTAAGAGTGAAATCGTTGGCTCTCATCCTCTTCAATCCGCCCTGGAATTGGTAAATTCTTTGTTTCTTTTTTTCAATGCAATTCTTTCACAAGAATTTCTTCTTTGCTTTCTTTTTGTATCCCCTCAATGGCGGGTTGTCACTGTGTTCTTCTCTTTCTCTTGGGTTTATTGATCAGTCGAGGAAGGCCCAGTCGGAGATGAAACGGAAAATCCTTGCTAACACTTATGGTTCAGCTTTTACACTGAAGATAGATCTGGACAGACAAATCCTTTCCAGGTATGGAATTTCACCAACTTATGCGAAACGAAATTGCAAAGAAGAAACTAAACATTACTTGAAAAGAAAGGATATTATTATTACTGCGTATGCTTGCTTTGAGGCTTTCGCATATCGTGTTCAAGACGAAAACTTTTTCGAAAGTGAAATTAAATCTACTAGGGTTCTTATTGTAGTTGGTTTTTTTGTCTTTGCGAAGTTTTCCTTATTTAGTTCATCCCTAAGGAATACGGATGTTGGGATGATAGCTAGCTGATTTAGTTTCAACAGCTTCAACGGAAATTTAGATTATGGAATATGGAAGCAGGGAATGTTTATTATATCCTATTCTTTTAATTGCTCCTTTTAACCATTGAAAATGTGAAAGTTCACTGCTTTCATAGCCCCAGAAGAAGTTGGGACTTTTCTTGCACTTGAATGTTGAATTTTATTAGAATTATGAATTGGGAGGATGGGAAAAGCTATTCCAAATAAAGGTTTGTTTTTGTAAGTGTAAAGGGTAGACATGTTACACATTTTTCAAAGTTCAGCAATTATGATTGATAAGGGAGGTGGCGGAAAAATTTGAGAAGTTATAGAGGGATTTTTTTTTTTTTGTGGGAAAGGGTAGGGGGAGCTAAGAAGTTCCATTTGGTGAAGTGGGACAAGGTCTGTAGACTGCAAGGGAAAGGTGGTTTGGGAATTAGAAGGATCAAAATTTTCAACAATGCCCTTTTAGGCAAGTGGCTATTGCGGTTTGGGCTGAAAGGGGGGAGGGAGTCTCTTTGTAGGAAGGTTGTAGTTGGGAAGTATGGGTTGGTGAGGTTTGGGTGGGAATCAAGGGAGGTCTCTAACTCTCATGGGGTGAGTGTCTGGAAAGGGATAATACTGTTCAATCAAGAGTTTAAAGCTTTAGTTAACTTCATCAAGGTGGGCAATTGGGAGGACAAGTTTGGTATGAAGCAGGGAAGCTGTGTGTGGTGTGTCTGAAGCTTTACAGGCTGATTGAGCATCACATTAAAATTGACCAATGCTTTGAGCTGAGGAGAGATCAGTTTGTTTGGTGCCCCAAATTTAGAAGACCTTTGCTGGATCAGGAGATAGAAGAATGTATTCAGCTGCTGGAAAATTTACAGAAAGTTAAGGTTTCATCCTCTTCAAGGGATGGGCTGTGGTGCAAAGAGTATAGGAATGGGGTGTTTACTGTGAAATCTTTCTACTTGGTGCTGGTGAAGGATCAACTGGTTTCAGATCATATGGAGGGATCTGGGGGAATCCTGTTTAGCTGTGTTTTATGCTTCTGGGATGAAGAGATGTCTTCCACCTGTTCTCCTCTTGCAAGATTGCAAATATCACTTGGAAATTTTATTCCTCTTTATTTGGGAAAAGAGTATTTCAGCCAAGATCAACAGCAGAAGTTTTCTCTTCTTGGCCAAGATTTGGAGGAAGCAGGAAAGCAAGGATAGTTTGGAGCTGCATTCCCTCTGTGGTTGGGTTCCTGTGGAACGAAAGAAATAGAAGACTTTTTGAAGATAAATCTAAAAACACTGAAACACTTGTGGCTCTGGTGGGGAAACTAGTAGCAGATTGGGTTTTGGTGCTACCATATTTTGATCAAGTCAGTAGAACAGATATGGGGGAGAACTTCTGGAGTGTTCTTGAAATTCAATTGTTGTAATTTGTTTCAGTCTGTGCTATTTGGATCAGAACCGTTTTGTTTTGCAGAGCTAGGTGCCATCTTGTCACCTATCGGATATAACTTGAGGACTCTTAAAACCAGTGTCATTGTTGAATTGCAGATTTATTATGGTGACCAGTGACTGCAGTTAGACATGCAAATTTGAGATGGACAATGTTGATGATCCAAACAATATACCCAAATATAATTAAGAATGATTATGTAAACTTATATAATAAAAAGGAATTGACAATGCTTATTTGTGGATTGGGATGATTTTATACTGTTTTCCAATTTAAGGCACTGGAATTAATTTGTTTTTTCACTTTCTAAGGAGCTAGATGGAAAGTGATAGTTTCAGTAGAAATAGGAGATTATCTTCTATTTCAACCAGACTGTGCCAATGCACCCAAAAACCAATGACTGTACTGGTAGAAAAAGGCACAATAAGGATAAAATTCAGTTGGCTTGTCCAAGGACAAATTGTAACCCTTAATCAAGTTGCTTATAGCTACTTCTAGTAAGGAAACATAAAAGCTTCAAGAGATCCTAGTTCCTTATTAAAATTTGGTGTTGGCAATTTTACTGGTAAAATGAACTGGAAAATAAAATATTTCTGTCTATGTCTCATCTAGTTCTTGGTGACTGCAAACACAATTATGTGGGCTAAGCAAGCTGGATCAGGGCCATTGAGGTTAGAGCGCTATCTAAATGAGATAAAGGACAACCTAAGCATAACCTTCTAGTCTTGCATTGGTGTCTGAGTGAAATAGTTCTATTTAAAACAGTGACTTGTCACTATTTAAAAGAGTGGCTGTGCTATCATCCTGAGCTAGCACGCTGGGATTGTTTAATAGGAATTATTGCAAAAAAATGCTTCTGTGACCCTTATTCCAGCTATTTTGGATGTCTACTTGGAACAGTGAGTTGGTTTTGGGGACTGGAGTCAGATATCTATGACTATGAAGTATAATTTCACCATACAAAGGAGCTGGTTTCTGTGCAAAATCCTTGAGTTTGTCCCTAGTGTTGATAAAAAAGGTGAGGAAATTCAAAGGAAAATGATAAGAATGATAGAGTAAGGTGATGTTTGGAACTGGTGCCATTTCTCCAGTGGTGGTGCTGCATAGGTATGTCGTTTCTTCAGAAAATGGTTTCTTCTGGGACTGTTGCTTCCATAGGCGCTTTTCAACATCACATCAGCATAGTGTTGTTAGCAGCAATAGAAAAACTAGAAAACGTCAAAAAGAATGTTTTCTTAGACCACACCATTCCCGATTTCCAAGGCGTCTGAGAAAAAGTTTTTCAGGAGAACACCCAACCAAACAGTGAGTGTTAGATTTCAGATGTGTGGTGTGTCACTGTTTTTCGATAAAACAGTATCGGTTCCAAACACCTACCAAGTGTTTCAGCAAAAGAAGGGCGAAAGAAAACAAAAAAGGAAATAGCTTCAAGGAACTCAAATTTTGTCATAGATGGAGTTTATGTCAGAGAAAAACAAAGTATCTATTAAAGAGGAATGAAGTGTGGTTGAGATTGGTACATACATTAGTTTGATAAAAGTATGACTGCACCTTCTCAAGCAATGGATGATCGTTCTGTGGTCTATAAATGTGAATTGTTATATGAGATCCAATGTATAATGAATGAATGCTTCCTTAAATAAATTTGTGAGCTTGTACTTTACTTTTAGGGAGCGTTCTTTTTTCGGATTTTCAGAGGGGGAAAGTTGGTCAATGGGATTTTGATTCCCATTGACCAAGAAACCCATGTTATTTTTTCAGATTTATGTGGAGATCAGGGAAAGTTTATTTTCTTGGGTATCACTTACCCTGGTAATACTTTCGCACCTGGGGGAAAAAATTGCCAAAACTTGAATGAGATAAAAATGCCCCTTTTAATAATGGATTTTTATGGGTAAAATGGTCATTGCCTTATTTACATGGGAAATAAAAGGATATGGGTAAATGCACTTACCCGGGTAAGTATTTCCTTGGAAACACTTACCCTGGTAAGACTTACCGAAAAGCGAACAGGGCCTTAGTTTTTCCAATTCCATGCCATCTTGGCTTCTTATTCCAAGATTTCTTTGTTTTTGGACAAGATCAGTATTCAGAGGCTATGAATTCTAGTTTGGTTTTCTTTGTGTTAGTTAAATTTCGGAGATATTCAACCTTGATTTCTAGTTATAGGTTTAAACATCTAAATCTTTATTTTTGTTCTACTTTCCTGAATTTGATGCTTAAACCTCAAATTTAGATGTTGTTTCTTTTTAATTGTCTCTGTTCAAGGCATTTATAGATTCCTTAATTTTGAGCCATAAACCTTCACTCTTCAACTCTCATCTGTCTTAGGTCTCATAGAACTACTAAAAGGCCATTACCCTATTTGTCCCAGCTATCTGGTGTCTTGGGAGGGGTGAGCTGGACACAGATATAAGCTTTGGCATTTTTACACAGTGGCTGCTCACAGATTCAATCCTTCATTCTCATGCTTAAGTTCTATTTATTTTAAATTCTATATATCCTTATTTCTTCAATATAACCAGTAAAATGGAAATTGTCAAAAAAAATCACTAAAATGGAGAGTTTATTATGAATTGGTTTGAGAATATTGTTTTAGGTAAGCTTGCTGGTGTTAATTACCTATGTTCATGTATAATATATTTTTCATGTTTGGCTTTTGTAGATTTCAGAGGCCTCCAGGAGCATTGCCATCTTCAATGTTAGGTTTCGAGGCTCTTACTGGAAGCTTGGATGATTTTGGTTTTGAAGATTATCTAAATGGTAATTAACAGAACTCCCATCAAATAAAGAAAAACATGTACAGACACAAAAATGGTTTTTTTTTTTTTTTTTGTCATCCTCAATCCGTACATTGCAATGATATTCTCCTGGATAAGTGGACATAAAATCTAATTAAAACATTATATTGGAGATTGCCTAAAAGTTTTAGAAAACAGTATTCTGAAATTTAAATAAATAAAAGCTACATAGAATACCTGTCATGCCAAATTGTAGAGATGACCATTTTGTATTAACCACGTGAGGATTATGAAATTTAGATACCCAAGGGTTCAGAAGAAGTAAATGCTAGTTTTTTAATGAGTTTCTGGCCCAACATTTCATTAAAAAACTATAACACTCAATTTTATGGATTGGGGAAGCTTTTCAATCGACCTTAACTGATCGATTGATTTACATTATAATGCATCTCTTTCTCTCTTTATATATATCATCCTAATTTTTATTTATTTATTTGTTTTGACATTGTTACTTTCAGACCCACGTGACTCGGAAATTTTCCGGCCAGCAGATATGCATCATGGAATGGAAATTCGCCTTGGCCTCTCCAAAGGACCAGTCTGCCCCAGTTTTATCTGATCTTGACTTCTCTGTAGAGACAGAATCTGCCCTATCTTTCTTTTTGGTTGTTTTGTTGTGGTGGTGGGTTTTCCCTCACTTTTTTGTGCTTACTTGTCACATGCTTTAAAATTTAAATATATAGTGTAATTGAGCATATGGGTAGCAGAATTGCAGTTGAACTTCTAATAACTAGGGTTTTCAAAAAAAAAGGAAAAAAAATCAAACTTATGTCTTATGAATCATGATTCCGGATATGAACAGGGGAAGGAACAAAAGGGCGAGCTCCTCACGGTAACAAAAAGTTTACTCCGCGAAGATGGTCATGAACTCTAAGGGGGCGTTCTTTTTTTTTGGATTTTGAGAGGGGGGAAGTTGGTCGATGGGATTTTGGTTTCCATTGACCAATAATCACATGTTTCTTTTTTCAGATTAATGTGGGGACTAGGGAAAGTTTATTTTCCTGGGTACCACTTACCCTGCCCATCTCCTAGGTGGGTAAATAACTTTCCCACCTGGGAGGAAAGATTCCAACACTTGAATGAGACAAAAATGCTCTATTTTATGATTAAAATGATAATTTTCTTTTTTTACTTGGGAAATAAAAGAACATGGGTAAATACACTTACCTGGGTAAGTGTTTCCCAAGAAAAATTTATTCAGGTAATTGCATTAACCCAGATAAATAACTTACCAAAAAGCAAATGGGCCCTAAATGGTGCTTGGATGTATATAGAAAAGAGTTTGCATAAACAGGAAATCATAGGGCAACAGTGACATCACCCCAAAAAGAAATGGCATTTTTCATTGGATTTATTTACCCATTTACATCTTTGATCTTAACATCTAGGAATGGGTCGAATTGCAGATTGACTGGTAAAAATGTTCAGGCTCTGGTGGATAGGGATGAGCATTCGGTTTATTCCGTTAAAAATCAAACTAAATAAACTGAATTTAAAAATCGAATTAGAAAATGAAAACCAAACCAAAATCGAATTAGAGGAAAACCGAAATAATTGAAACCAAACTTTTCGGTTCAGTTTTTGGTTATTTTGGTTGAAACCGAATTTCAAAAATATATATTATATTACATATGACATATAAATATATTATAATATATTATGAAGTCCAATTATATTATATTATATTACATGCTATATAGAAAAGTTTGGTTAATTTAGTTTTTGCAATTAACTGAATTTTTAATTCTAAAAACCGAAACCTAAGTATTTAAAAACCAAAAACTGAAATAACCTAACTGAAAAAACCGAGATCCCGAATAATGCTCACCCCTACTGGTGGAAGCCACTTTGGTAGTTTGGTGTGTTTATGGTATCTGATTACGGCATCAATACTAACCAAATAATATTCCTTTATAACTTTAGGCGTTGTAGATGTAAACTTTCAATCCAACTAAGTTGTAGCTGGAAGTCTGGAAGACTGGAACAACTAGAAATATGGACCCAGTTACATCAGGAGACCATTCTAGCCATTGTCCGTCGAATGTAGGTTTTTTGTCTAAGGTTTATGAAGAAGGAACTCTACCAAGTGGGTCCACAATCAACTGTCCAGGTGGAATGTCTCGTGCACGAGTTTTCTTTTCCGCAAAAGAGTGGGATTTCTGGGTACCATAACCTGGTCATTTAAAAAGGGCACCTGAGAAGGCGGCGAGGACGATTTAAATGTTTTTGTTCAAATCAGCCCCCCACAACGTCCCACAGCACATCCCTCCCCGTCGTGTATTGGGAACATCTCCCAATGATGAATGTGCTGTGGGATGTTGTGGGGGACTAATTTGCTCTCGTTTTCATGTCCTCGCGACCTGATCAACCAGGGAGCATCGGAATGCATTTTGGACTGAGATGATGATAAGGCTCATGACCATTTGTCACAGCCTTACCAGCCCTACTTGAGATTTGAGACATCAGCTTTCTTTTTTCCCTTCTCCCTAAGCCGACCCTCTGAAGTCTGAATCCTTCCCTTCATGGTTGGGGTTTAAACTTCTCCATTTGCTATTATTGCAACGAGCACAATAGGGAAAATCCCACTGGATGCATACATGCAAGAGCCTGCTAGTTTTCTTTTCCTTTCTTATTTTAAAGCAACGAAGAAAAGAATACTGCAATTAAGAATGATTTGATAAATGGATGCATACAATGCGCAACATCAAACATTGACAACTTTTTTTTTTCTATTAACCATTAAGCATTCAATTGCTAAGCTACTTCAGCTGCCAAGAAAATAAGATACATTATTGATTGGAACTATTAAATAAGAGAAAAAAATAATGGAACCCACTAATCAGATATTGCTCCTTTTCCACGACCTTACAAGACATTCCACCATGATTCAGACATTTTCGGACACCCTCACTCTCAAGAAAGTAGGTGCTAGGACAATTATGATCTATCATCCCATCTCCACCTCCTTCCAACCTCTGCAAGAACATTTGCCCGTGCTCGGTTCTTTCTCGCTTCATCCTCGATCCATGATCTGCACATGTTGTTCATAGGAGAATCATACCACGACTATCCAGATAAATGAGAATTCATCACAAACTCAAATGAGCCAACAATTTTTCAAGCAGCGGTAATGTGAGTTCATTCACCAAGATAAATAAAAAATAAATAAATCATTCCCCCAGATCTAATATATCCAATGTGTCAATATTTACCTAAGAATTTGGAGAGCTTCTTTTTCAGCTTCCAGTACAGACTTGGCATCAAGCATGGCTTCCTGCTTGGCCTGTAAATCAATGCGCATATCCTCTAAAGTCCGCTGCTCAACCATAAAACTTGCCTTCTCAGAGGCAAGCCTCCCAGACATCTCATTGATTTCCTCCTTTAGACCAAGAAGCAACTGCGTCTGACAGTCAAGAGCTGTTTTCTCCTTCAGATGCTCTGCAAGGCTCTTCTCTCGAACAATCTTTTCCTGTTCAAGATCATGAGATGCTGCAAGAAAATCCCTCTCTACCTCAAAACCACGACCTTTTTCTTCATTCAATTTCCCCTCCCAATATTTTTGTATTTCTCCCCTACCTAGCAACTCGGACTTGATTTCTTCCGTTTCAGCTTCCCTTGATAAACTTTCAGTCTCTAGCCTTGATAGTTCATTACGAATTGCTTCCTCCATCCTGCCACTCGTAAGTGCAACTGCTGCCTGAGCTTTTGTTGCAGGCTTGCTTGGTTGAAGACGCTTAGTCTGTCCTGTAGAATGCCAATGCTGATATTGGTATCCTTATTATTCAAGCATATATAATGCACACTTATCCAGAAGAAGGGGGTGGGAGAAGACTCAGTGTACCATTGTTAAACTTGCATACATGGTCAAGTCTAACATGTTGTAAGAGAGAGAATGGGGGGAGGGGGTGGAGAAACAAGCTGACTTAGTCTGAAAAAATTAAATAAAGTAACACTGATTCATTTCAAGTTTGATTCACAATCAAAGAAAAGAAGCTTTATGTGTTTTAGAGGGGCAGTAAGTGGTCAGCTACAAGGGAAGCCCAGTGCACAAGGCTCCCACCAATGCGGGGTCTGGAGAGGGACAGATGTATGCAGTAAATAGTCAGCTAACAAATAATTATTCATCTGAGTCAGGTCTTATAAAACAAGTCAAGGCCAACATTGTAAAGTGATATATTGGAATTAGTAAAAGCAAAAATATCAAAAGCAAGTGAAGAAAGAAATACCAAAGACTTTTCTCAGTATACTCTTTTCACTAGCCAGCATGTCCATATAAAACTCTGGTGATGCTTCTGGACCAATCTCCCTCAAATCCATAAAACCAACTTGTGTCATTGACATCTGGACTGTAAACAAGTCAGGTCTTAAGAGCTAAGAAGAACTTCAGAAGTTTCGACTTCAGATCTAACTACCCTTCTGAAAGTACTACCAGGAAAAAGAAAAGAAGTTCAAAATGGAAAACATAGATGATGTGTATATTATAGTACCTTTTCTTCTAGCTCTGCAATAGATGAGTATTCTACTTGAGCTCTCCAGTTTATAAGATCCATACGAGTTATGAAACTGCAGCAACATATAAATATTATCCATCATTTAGAAACAAAAAGCTCCAAAACGAAAAACAAATTACTGGAGGGATAAAAGATAAAAGATGGGGCGTTATAAGTACCTCTGAGGAAGAAAAACATTGCTTCCTTGGCTTTTCAAACCATCCTGCCCAGAAAAATTATTCTTCCCTGATAGCTTGCTTGGAATTATCCCAGCCTCCGCAAGGGCTTTTCAATTGTGAGTTAATTGGAAAAAGTTAGATTTTTCGCTCAAATAGAAACATTTGGTATTAGGGTGGACATTTTCATCCAGCAGAATCTCACCTTGAATGTACCAAAAATCTGGGTCTTTGTCATTCACATCATCAAATGCACCAACCAGAGGACCAGCAAGTAACAATGATGGAATAATTCGATGCTTCAGATTCCTATATTTAGCACAAAGAAAGAAATCAGGCACAGTTGTTACTGAGCCAGAAATGTGAAATGTTTTTCATGTAATTATTGTGCATGTTAAAAACTTAAAAGTACCATCTGTCTCCACCCACAAGAATGCTTCAATTACCTTTCCAGCACTGAATTTGCTTTGACTAGCCATCTTGCATATTCCCTCCGTGTACACAACTCATTGCCCTTAACATCACCTTCAATTATCTGTTCATCTTAATCCAATTAAGCATATGCTCAGAACTGGATTTAAAGCTTCGAGCACACCAGTATAGAAATCTATCAACTGATAACAAAAACAGTAATGGAAGATCGTGGAATGGAAAGAACTGTTCAAAAGGTGCATTCTTTGAAGTAATGGTGGGGTCTAATTGCTCTCCAATGATAGATTTGGTTGATAAACCTTTGAAATTCTCAGTGCTAACTTTAATGATAATCAACTCCCACTGTTGGGACTCTGGGTTGACTTTATCTGATGCTAAAGAAGGCTGAAGTACCCCCCCGATGGAGTACACCATGGAACAGGGCAGAACATATTTTTCTTAACAGCTGTATATTCAAAGGAGGTTACAATGCTACCAATAACTTAAAAATATATATATATATCTAGAAAATCTCATTTTGGCTTATATCAGTCAAGGCACTCGAAAGTTTCAGGCAGTTTATGTTGTTCGTATCTTTGCTCCTGTTTGATTTCACTTTTAGGAAGTACTTATTTCAACAAGTACTTCTTTTAAGACATGGGACCACACATTAAGTGGTTTTTAAGTACTTATGGGTGTTCGGTAAAAAGGGGGTAAGAAGTACTTATTGTTTAAAAAAGTACTTCTTAAAAAAGTGACATGGATGTGGCTTTTTTTCAGCACTTTTTGAAGTACTTCTTCATTCGAATGGGACAAACCTGTCCCTGTTTCTTTAATGACAAAACTACCCCCACTCGAGTTTATCATCTTCTTCTTCCATTCGAAACCCTACAACAACAAGCAGCAGCGGCGTTTGGTTGCAGGTCCACCGGCGACGTTCGATGGTGAGCAAAAAACAGCCAGCGGACCTGTCGTTTTGCTCTTACCTTTATGTTTCTTTAGTATTCCATCGATTTGTGAAATTTTTCTGCGCTTTTCTGAAGTCTGAAACTCTCTTTTTCTCTCTGGTCGCAGATCTATGTTTGGGCGACTTCAATGGCGATATCCCACCGTCTAGCCGCCGGCAACTAGAAGGTGAGGTCGTCCAAATTCCTCCCTTCCATGTTTGTTTTTTTTTTGGGTTTTTTTGGATGGTTATTTCTCTGGTTCGATTTTTTTGTTGACAAATCCGAAATTCTTTTGGGTGTTTTTTTTTTTTTTTTGTTAGAAATCATGCAAACAATTTGCATGAGTTAGATGAATATTTGTGTGAAAATTTGCTGAAGTTGAATGAATATTTGCGTGAATATATTATATTCAATTGTGATTGAATTTTTTTCTTTATTTGATATGAATACTTGTGTGAATATATTCTTCAAGTGTGAACATTTGTGATTTTTTCATGAATTTTTGTTGGTGTTGTTTTTAATATTATCTAGCCTATTTTATTTTCTTGAATAATCCAAATTTAGTCATCATATTTTATATATTTTTTTAATTTGATATTGGTGGTGTTTTTCTTTTTTCTTGAACAATCTGAATTTCCTATTATTAATTTATATGTATAGTTAAAATTATCACATTTTAATTTTTTTTGTTGATTTATAAGCATAGTTAATATTATCCTATTTTATTTTTTTGAAAAATCTGAATTAAGTCATCCTTTTTTTTTAATTTGATATTGGTGGTTTTTTTTTAATTTTCTTGAATAATCTGAATTTCATATTATTGATTTATATGTATAGTTAAGATTATCATATTTTAATCTGAATTTCCTATTATTATTATTATTATTTTTATCTATTTATTATTATTATTGTTATTATTATTATTATTAATTGGGTCCATATGGCGATTCACGTGTGGGTCCACATGGGCTCTCAGTTGTCATGATGTGGCATTTTTCATTGAAATGTATAGTATAACATGTGAAAAGCATTGTACATATGTACGAGTGAAATGAGGACTAAAATCGTCATTTGTGTCAATATGAGCACTTATGGGGAAAGTAGCTTACCAAACATCCCCACCCCAATAAGTGCTTAAAAACATAATAAGTGATTTGGCAAGTGGGTCACCAAACAGCCTTAAGTGGTTGTTAAAATAAGTACTTCTAAAAAGTACTTGTGCAACAAGTACTTTTAACAACAACTTAATCATCAAACAGGACCTTTATCATTCTAATTTCATATTTCTTTTTATGTATGAGTAGGGAATACTAAAGTTTGTTTGTTTGATCCTTGGAATGCATAGATTCTTTTTTTGTCAGATTGGAATTTTGTGGATTATTCATTATTTCCTTGTTCAATACATTGTTCTCCTACTTTCCACAACAAAATCAGATCCGATAAATGTAAAAGCAAAAGTTGAAATCATGAAGTATTTAAAAAAAAAGGTGAATAGTTAAATCAAGTAAGAGCTTCCCTCTTCTTTCCCACAACCTCACAGGCAGAATATCAACACCAGCTCTTCTTTAAGCCCTCTATTGCACCTCATTGATGTTTCTTCTTGGTTGTTTTTTGCTTCCTTTGTCTCTATCCCCTTTCTGGCTTTCCTTGAACCCCTATAATTATCTTGCTTTCCACAACTTATGGTTGTTTTTTGCCATTCTCCACTTTCAGTTCAGTATTCTCACATACACTATTAAGAGTTATTTACAATTTTACATGTCTATATTATAGCATACATTCAAATCATAAATACTGAAGTGAGTGTTGCTAGCATCACCATACACCAATTAACAATCAAATTAAAATGTTCCCAAAAATCCAATCCCCTAACACACAGGGTGAGAGTGCCTACACTTGCCTAGACACGTATTTGCCCTATCACAAACTATTTCATGTTTATACACACTTCACATTCAATGTTTCAAAAGGCATGCGAGGCATGCACCTGGAGGTGTGCCTCCAGGAGAGGCACCCTCAAAACGCCCTCAGGCATATGCTGAAGGCGCTGATGCCTCTAAGTTGTGAACCTCAAAACACCTTTTGCATGAGGTGTACACTTCTGGTACACCTCATTGAAAAAGAAAGAAAGAAAGGTAAAGAAAAGACAAGAAAATAAAATAAAAGAAAGAAAGAAAGAACAGGAAAGGAAAGGAGAGGAGAGGGAAGGGAAGTCCCCCAACACCTTTCTAATGCAGCCACTGTGGTTTCTTGCGCTAGGGAGTTCTGTCTCCACTGCGGCAAGCAAGCAATCTTCAAAGAACCCCCTTTCAGCTAACATTATGTATCTCATTTTTCTTAATACAAAACATCTTTCATTGAAAAGAAATAAGAAAAAAAAAAAGAAACTCCTTTTTCGTTCTCTTCCTACTCTTTAGGTGGTTACACCTCTTGTGTTCTGAACTCCAAGTAGTGGAAAACCTTGCATCATGCCTCAGAATTTTAAAACATTGTTCACATTTAAATAATTTGAGAAAAGTTAACTCTCCTCCCTGGAAAATGGTAAGAATTTTCCACAAATCTAAACTTCTAAAACAAGACATTTTTAAGCATGGTAATTACATGTAACAACAAGGGAGAAAATGATGGTAGATCCTGTAAACAACTTACAGCACAAGAAAGAATCAGCAGAATGTTGGTAGAAAACTAAAGCTTCTGCATAGGGAAAACAGAAAAGGCTTCTATATTCCAGAAACGAACCTTCAACTTCTTTAAAACTAGTAGAGCTTCCTGTTGAACAGAATCCGCAGCAACCGGAATAACAATGCGTTTCAGCTTTTCTACAGACACTGAGAAATAAAAGAAGGCAAAGAAGAGAAAGATCATGCTGTGATAATTTGAACAAGTCTCTTGAAAGAGAAGAAAAGGTGGGAAGATGACTGAAATTAAGTACACAACATACAACATAAAGGCAATAAATTGAAGTTGATAATGAAATCAATTTGTAGCATTAGTGAAAAAAATTCATGGATAGTGCTGATAAAAATAAATAAAAAATCATGGATAGCAAGAGTGAACCAAGAAGCAAGCAGCAAATGATATGATTCCATGATCATAATTATAAATGCAAAATGGTGATTCGTTACAAATGAAAATTTAGAGGATGTTTGCTAATATGTATAATTTTGTTCTCTAAAACAAAAAAGCCAATTCTTCTAAGTTTTTTAAGATACATGACCCATTGTTTGACTTCCTTTCATGCTTGTTTTATACTTCTCCTGTCATACAGCATCATATCAGTCCACCATTTCCAGAAACTCCTCAAAACATGGTTGGGAAGATTCTGCAAATCTTGACTAGTGAGCTCATTTGTCTCAAACATAGACTAGACTTGGAAAGAAAGCACTTCAAGATCCTTTTGCATTTGGTTTCCACAACAAAATAATTATAGCATGCTTTTTTATGCTGTTTCTGAGGCAAGCCCTTGCCTCAAGTTCTTTGTTCAGAGGTTCTAAGTTACAACTGTCCTCAGCAGACCTTAAGAATTCATCATTCATGTCTTGCTGCATTTGTAAGGCTCTGTAGTTCTCCCATCACCAGATTCTAACTTTCTTCAGGCTCCTCTGAAAAAGGGGTTTTGACATTTACCCTTTTGGTTAATCTCTTTTTTATTAAAAAAGTAAAATAAAAATGTTAAGTGTGTGACATGCCAGCTTAACGCATCCATCTTCTTACACGTTTAAGGATGCTTTGCATCTGGGGGGTTATGTGGGCTGCTCTGATTGGTTAAACAACGCAGAGTTCAGCTGGTCAAGTACAGCAGGTCTGGACTCGCTTAAGTTACTTCAGGCAAATAGAACATTCCGCATCCTTCTAATCACAGTTGCTCAACTAGTCAAGTTTTACAAATCTGGACTGAGTCATTGAAGTTGCTCTCTGTTTAACTTGACCCTCAGAATAACTCTTCTTAGATTGAAATGTAGGCAATGAAATCATAAAGAGATAATGATAGCATGCTGTTTGCCTCCTCAAAGAAAATAAGCAATGACTCCTAACAAAATTCGATAACACAACATCATCATTATCATCATCTAAGCCTTGTCCTAGGCTCCCAGCTACATGAATCCTATTTTGCCATACTGCCATATCCATCATCAAATTATGGGTGCTTAAATCATTTCTTACTACTTCCACCTAAGTAGAACAAATTTTGATAACACGTCTAACTCAAAAGTTCCAATACCCACTCAACCACCACATTTCCCTTGATCACTGCTCTATCACCATATCATGAGAAAGAAATAATGTTGAAAGAAACAATAATTGCACCAATCAATAAAGCAATAGTAATGGAGAACAATTAAAAAAATGCCGTTGCAAACCATCGAACTAATAGTAAATAACTGCTGGTCACCAGCTGATAAAAAATAAAATAAAATAATAACTGCTGGTCACCTTTCTTTGTATTATCTTGTTCCTTTTTCTAATAAAATTTTCTTTTTATTACCAAAAAAACACACCTGATGCAGTGGTTTCACTTGTTTCATCAAACGAAGGTTCTGTTTCTCCCTGCGACACCACGGGACTTGCATCGGATACTGAAGTGGACGGCTTTAATATGCCTTGTAGATCTTGCAATGTGACAAACTTAAACTTGAAACCTGAAAAAAACCCATCAATTAATCAAGATTCAAAATCCTTTATAACCAATAAACCCTCCCCCGCGCCCCGCTCCCCCAAAAAAATAAAAAAGCTTATAATATATCAAGGAATTATAAATGCTACAGAATAATATATTTACTTGTTGACGTTCATCTTGGATTAAGAATAGCTCCTATGGTACATAATTGAAACAAATCCATGACAGCAATTTACAAACAAATCCTAAATAACCCATATTATTAACTGACCATTTCTTGCAAGTGAGAAGTGCGCAATTGCCATTAATGCGATTGCAATTGAAGTCCCAATGCTCGCCAAGAGAAATGTTGGAGAACCTGTACAGAAGATTACAAAATTATTGAACTGTAGAAGATTATCGAGCACAATTTCTGAACAAGATAAAGAAGACTACACAAAAAATCTTAAATTTAGTTAATAATGCAAACCATAGTAACCTTTCTTCTTCTCGACTTGCGTTTCGATAACCGCCCAACCACCATAATCGTCGCTAGCATTTCCTTCTGGAGTCAACCAAGAAGCTTCCATTCTTCTCTCCGTAACCGATGCAGACAAACATACTCTCCGGTGCCTCGAAATGTAAAAATTTACAATTGGATTCGAATAGCCGAAGATTGGCAGATCGCAACGGCGCAAGCCAGAGCGATTGTCGATGGAGAGAAAGGGCGATGAAGGAGACAGAGAAAAACCCATGTCCCTTTATGCTCTGGAAACTCAAATGGTGCAGACGCTAGGGTTTCATGTTGTGCCTTGACATTGAACGTAAATTTCTGAGCGGAGTTGCAGAGGTATAGTATAGCTAAGATTTCCCTTTCTTTTTTTTCCAAAAGAGAGAATATTAGATATGTGGAAGCTTGAGCCTTGAGAAACGTGAACAATGTCTAAAGACTAAAGAGTACAGAGCCGAGGAGCTGACTCAGGGGCAGTGTTTGGATGCAAGGACAGTAAAAGAATTTCCGGAATTTTCGCGTTTCCTATCCTATCCTTGGAATGTAAGTATAACTTTTCCTGGCCGGGTTTTTCAAACGGATCTAGCCTCTAGGAGTAACCGAGTAGAGGCTATATTCGAATTGGATTTAGCAATACCCGAATTCGACCCGGATAATATGGATATCCGAATCTCATCAGATTTGGGACCTTAGATTGATTCAGATTTTATCCAACTCCGCTTCATTTTTAAATAAAAGAAGAAATTCAAATAAATAAATAACTAAATTGCTTTTTAACTTATATGTATAATGTCAATATAAATATAGAGTATTGAATTTATTATATAATGATATAATGTATAAAATTATATTTTTTATATTCATAAATTTTATATACTAAATCAATGTATTTTATAAAACATTGAAATTTTGATAATTAGATATAGTTTATAAAATCTGAATATAAGTAGGGGTAAGCAAAAAAACAAAAAAACGAACCGATCGAAATCGAACCGAAAAATCAGTTAACCAAATCAGTCAATTCGATGTTTTTAAAAAACTGAAGGTATCGGTTCGGTTTTTGGTTAACCAATATGGAAAACCGACGGTTAAATGAACCAATTGGTATACATATATTTCTATATATTTCTATATATATATTTATGTATATTATATATATCCAATTATGATATAGAAAAAGATATGATATCTGAAAAGCACCTGACCAATTAACTGGAATCATAAATTTGGTAAAGAATCAGGTGTTATTTATCAAAATTCATGGGTAGGTTCTGATTGGTAAAAAGTCTATCCATACCATATCTTTTCCATATCATAGATTTTCCCATATATTTTATATTTTTATATATTATAAATTAATAAATATGCATTATATATAAATATGTATATTTATAATATATTATATATTATATAATATTTATTATTTAAAATATAATATTATATATTTATATATACTTTTATAATATATATTGTAAAAATAAAAAAACCAACAAACCGAACTGATGGCTAACTGATTGGCTTTGATTCAATTCTAGTTACCAGTTTTCCAAAAACCGATAGTCCCGATTTGGTTTCAAAAAATGCCCCACAGTTTGGTTAACAGAACCGTGAATACCCCTAAATACAAGATTATCAGATGTGGAATTAGGTTTTGGGTTTTTTCGGAACCCATTGACGACCAAAGGGTGCAAGTTGGACAGTCTTGGGTTGAGCTCTTGTCAAAATTTAAATAGGTCAGTTTAAGACCCAAGCCTGAAGGCTGAAGCAATGTAAAATGCTAATTCAATCCAATTGAAGTTGCACCTAGTTGAAATCTTTTGCCGATGAAACACGTTTCAAGCCCCAACCAACTTGATCTAACATTGCACATCTCACCATAAGATTAGGATCCACTGCGACCCACCATGTATGAGATGTGCATTATGAGATCATATTGGTAGGTTGTTCAAGTGTATTTTGTTGGTAGGTGATCCAAACTTAGTTGCACCTCTATTTAAGGGCAACATTTGACTACATCCAACAAAGTATGGAGTGATTCTAGTGATTATCACTTTTTCACAACTACGGGCTTTGGAGTGTGGAGTGGGGATGCAAATTAGGAGTCCGGATCTCCTGCCCACGAAAACTTTGCTCATGTTTATCGCACCCACACATGGAGAACATCTCAATCTCTACATAGTATTATGCAGGGGGAGATGTTCCCAATTCACGAAATAGTCATGAATGATGATGAGATTTGATCTCTGTTTGAATCGCTCTTTAATTGAAGTTAAGACGAAATAAAGAAAGATTCGGTAGTTCAATTGGTCATTTCGGTATCCCTCTTTTTGTGGAGGCACAACTTCAAACCCACGGATGAATTGAAGGAAAGAAAAAAAGAGTAGTTGTATGGTGCAAATACAAAAATGTACTTTAGGCTCAATTTGGAAGCAATACAAATGCAAATATGTACAACATAAATACATGCAAAATAATATAAAATATAAGGTATTGCATTACATATTTGCATTTGTACTCCTTCTAAACTCAGTCTTAAGAGTACAAATACAAAAATGTACAACGCAAATACATACAAAATAATACAAAATCCATAGATTTGCATTCACATATTTGTATTTGTACTCCTTCCAAACTGAGCCTTATAGGCACTATCTAAATGGTTAGTCTTGAAGTAACTTTTGAGGCACAAGTTCAAGAACCCAGATTTCCTACCCACTCTTTATCCACCGTGAATTGCAGCCACATATCTCTATGCAAGTTCAAACCCATGAATTGATCAATTGAAGAAAAGAAAGAAAGATTTGCATAAACAAGGGCCAGGAAACTTTATGGATGCATTGTACTTTATAGGCATTGATGCTGCTCGACCCGAGGTCACAGTTAGATAATCCTGCCAATTGGTCAGAGCCGAGGTGGAAGGACGAAACCGTGCTCCAAGATCTGAAACCAAGAACAAGGTTAGAGGCTCGAGGAGTTATTCCCCAGGTAGGTACTCCGATGCTCAAGTTAGGAAAAGATTATGGGTGGCTGGGCTAAGCAATTGAGAGAACAGTGCTGGTCCAAGTAGAGTAACGGTATGGAAGGTCAAAAGTTGGATCCCTTACATTGGGAGGTACTTTTTTATATCCGGAAATCCATGTCCTATTCAGATGAGGATTCTGAGGTTGTTGGGATGAGGTTGCCCGCCGAGGTTTTCAGGATAAGACCTAATCCCCAGCGGAGTTGTTCTCATCCGTACGATGCTCTCTTGTCTTGGTCGCGCTTATCCACATGATGTGGTGCTAACGTGGCCAAAGTGATAAGACGACCGCTGAGGTGACATATTGTCACAGGTGACCACTTTTTCGCGCCATCAAGTGCTTTGGCCATGCTCGCAACATGCCATCAGTGCATCATCAAGTGTGTCTTGGGTGTGGTTGCATATGTATTTTGTATGGGGGGAGATGCCCATGGCGTTATTGTAATTATGCAATATGATTTCTCAATATTTTGATGTAATGTTTTGTCAGAGCACCAAAAGCTTAAGCTACTCTTTGAGGGGAGGTAGGTAGTTGAGTGGCGCCAATCCGTGTAAAGGTTAAGCACGAGGTCCCCTCGACACAAACTCGTGTGGTTGTGCTTGCCATCTTTAATAAAATATAAAGTGCCTTTTACTAATTCATGTGCCATCTTCGTTGCCTTCTGTGTGTGATTGCTTGCTTTCTTAGGCTTACTCGACCCAATCGATTGCCACACGGGGCCCCAACGACTAGCTCCATGACAGTTGGTATCAGAGTCGAAGCTGCTCCATACACATTGGACCCTGTCCGCAAAGCCACATTCAGCACAATCAATGAAGGGCAACCGCGACACTGCAGATGACATACTTTTTGGGCTAGCTCAAGCCCATGACGTTGATGAGGCACCCATCTACGAGCCTACCAAAAATCAAGCCCCCAAGGGCCAGACAATCAAAACAAGCAAGTGGGACAAATCCGTTGATTAGTTAGCAAGCATGGACATGCGTATCCTATGTTGTGAGGCAACAGTAGGGGAGACCTAAGATCGGGTTGATGAACTCCACCTAAATATGGAGATAGTGGAAAATGCGGTGGTGGAACTAGAAGGGTAGTTCAATGGCGCCTTCATGGAGATCCAGAGCACATTGCAACAATCAGAAGTTGGGCCATCCCAAAGCAGCCTTCAAGGCTTGATGGACCGATTCCAAGCACAACTAGACGAGATGAGGGATGAGGTGACACTTCTAAAAAGGGCGATGGCCAACTCCTCTTCTGCGTCATCTACTCCGACCCCGACACCCACCAAGATATGACAACCAACACCATATTTAGGTGCTCGAGAAGCTCGTGAACTCGACAACTTGTGGTAACTTGAACAATATTTCTTTGCCACTAGCATTTGTGATGACCAAATTCAGGTATGCACGGCTGCTATTTATTTAAATGATATTGCCATGTTATGGTGGCATAGGTGTTGTCAGGACATTGACTACGACAGGTGCACCATCAATACCTGGGTTGACTTCAAATGAGAGTTCAAGCACCAATTTTACCTTGAGAATGTTGAGTACCTTGCAAGAAGGAAGATGAAGAACCCGAAGCACAATGACTCACTACATGACTATGTCCAGGAATTCTCGGCCTTGACATTGGAGGTCTCTGACATGTCTGACAAGGATCTCTTGTTCAATTTAATGGACGGACTCAAACCATAGGCCGAGCTTGAGCTGCAACGACGCAGGGTGAAAGACCTAGCAACTGCCATGGCCATGGCCGAGCAACTTGTTGAATTGAAGAAGCCTGATGAAGTGAACCACCAGCCACCTAGCCCACGTACCACCAACTTGAGTGGGGGAGACCCACGGTCAACATCCACTCAGGAAAAGCAGGCATATCCTAACAGGGCAGGTTACCACCAAGGGAAGAAGCCACAGGAAGTCAACAACTCCCAGGGCCACAAGTACTCTAGGAGACCCACCACACCTCCAGCACCTTGCTTCATATGTAATGAAATGCATTAGACAAGCGACTGTCCAACACAAAAGAAAATCAATGCCCTCATTGCCAATCTCAGTGTGAAGAGAGTGATGAGGAGAAACCTACACAAGCGCCAAGAGTAGGCGCTCTCCAACTCATCAATGCAATGGTCAAGAGAGAGGCCACACCTAAACGGCCTAGCAAAGCCCACAAGGGGCTAAAATATGTGGACATCACCCTTGGCGGGAAGCCGACTCAAGCCTTGGTGGATATCGGGGCCACTCATAACTTCATCTCTCTTGATGAGGCACATCAACTTGGCTTGTCCACCACCAAACAAACAGGGTGGGTCAAGGCTGTCAACTCAAGGGCCAAAGCAGTGGAAGGTGTGGCTCGTGGAGTAGAGCTCCAAGTTGGGCCATGGAAATGACCCATCAGTCTATCTGTTGTACCTTTGGATGATTTTCAGGTTGTCTTAGGAATGGAGTTTCTCATGCAAGCGGAAGCAACGCTCATACCACACATCAACAGTCTACTCATCTTAGACGAGTGTTCTCCTTGCATGGTTCCAGTGACAACAACCCTCAAGGTACACGAGAAGCAACTTTCAGCCATGAAATACTACCAAGAAACAGACACCCATGAAGCCAGCATTGTACCAACAAGGAAGACCCCCACTTCAACACCGGAACGGAATGGGAAGTCGTCACCAAGAAGAAGTCTCCACCAAAGCTGTTCCCACACCAGCACCAACACCA